GCTCAAACTCACAGAGATCTGCCTGCCTCTGCCTCCCGAGTGCTGGGATTAAAGGCGTGCGGCACCAATGCCCGGCCCCCCACAGTACAATTCTGAGTGAGAATGTGTTGAGAAGGAGCTTTCTAGACTCAAACCTAGAAGAATGGATGTAACAAAGGAGAGGAAAATATCCTCACAGTTGCTTTCCTCCAAAGAAGCAACTTAATCATGGTAATGAACTACATTTTCTAAAACCTTTTGAGGTGTCTTGGAAAATATTATTCCCGTGAACCTTTTCTATAGAAAAAAAGCTAAACATAATCAAGTAATTGAAAAACAAACAACACTGCATCATAATAGTTTGGGTTAAAAGAGAATGTGGCAAAAATAGAAGTATATAAAACAAAGCCAACTTGCATGATAGGTATAGAGAAAACTTTATCCAACTCTAGCTTCCCTGAACTACATGGGCAAGGATCCTACACTAGGCTGAGACCTGGGGAGAGACTGCTCTAAAAGGCACAAGTTCACTCCATCCCCCTCACCCCCCCCCCCCCCCTTTTTTGGGACCCCCCAGCCACCATGGAAAGAAGCCCAGGCTAGCCTTCTAGACAGAGAGAATGGCTGAAAAAAAGAGCTCCTGGCATATTAGCGTAATAAAGAACACACTAGCATCACTCAGCACCTCAGTTCTAGGCACACGAGGAAGTTAAAAAGGTGGTCATCTCTGATTTTAGAGCAGTTATTGGCTGAAAACCACCACATGAGTGGTTCCAGTTCAACAATAGGTGTAGCAGAATCGAGCTAAACCCTACACAAACTCCCATTTCAAATGGTCTGATAAAATGGCGGTTATCTTTAGATAACAAGTTTTGGTGATTTGGGCTAAATAACCATAACGAAAGTGGTACTATAGCAATTCTAGCCCAGGGCTTTAAGATGCTTTACACTTTTGGCTTTTAGTGCAAAGGAGGACTCCAGTCAACAAGTTTAAGATTCATGACTGAATAATTTCACTGAGACACAGGTCTATTTCAATCAGTTTAGTCACGGACAACAAAACTACCAGGCAATGAAATGAAGCTATTTTAACCCAACACATAGTTGAAGGAATTGATGTGATTGACCCCAGCCAAGACTAGAAGACCATTCGACTAAGTCCAGACAAAGCAGAATAGGGAGAAATAAATGATGGTGTTAAGCCACTAAATATATTACATAGCGTAGAATAAGTGTTATCTGTTTCCACATGGTGAGTCAGCCTTAATTCTTGAGCTCTCTTTAGCATAGCTAGTAGTGAAATGTCTTTGTTTTTCATTTCAGCTTTGAAGAATATTTATACTGGACCAGCAGGGGGGTTTGTTTTGTTTTGATTTTGGTTTTGTTTTGGGTTTTTGTTTGTTTGTTTTTTGTCGTTGTTGTATTTGGTATCAGCTCTTTAAATCTTCCCATTGACTTTTAGTCTCATTGAGACTAAACTTTAACTGTTTTTACTGATCGGCAGTGTGTCTGTTTGTCTTTGGTTGTTTTCATCCCCCCCTCACTTGATTATTTATAGGTAGTAGAATACTGATCTATGTGTGAATCTTTTCATTATATGTTATATGTACTGAGTCTCCTAGACTCATCAGTTTTTTGTTTGTTAATTGGTAATTTTTTTTTTTTTTGGTTTTTTGAGACAGGGTTTCTCTGTGGATTTGGAGGCTGTCCTGGAACTTGTAGCTCTTGTAGACCAGGCTGGTCTCGAACTCACAGAGATCCTCTGCCTCTGCCTCTGGAGTGCTGGATTTAAAGGCGTGTGCCACCAACACCTGGCCGGTAATTTTTTAAACCAGTTTTGCCTCAAATTTCTGTTCAATTATGTCCCTGCTTTCAAACACTTTAAGTATTTCTTTTTTGGGGGCGGGGGTTGAGACAGGGTTGCTCTGTGGCTTTGGAGGCTGTCCTGGAACTTGCACTTGTAGACAAGGTTGGTCTCAAACTCACAGATTCTCTGCCTCTTCCTCCCAAGAGCTGGGATTAAAGGTGTGCGCCACCAATGCCCAGCCACTTTAAGTATTTCTAATTATATATTTGTAATGACAATAGTATTAAGAGATTCATTTTTTTCTTTCTGATCATTAGATCTGATACTTCCTATTGGTCTATTTTAAAATTGACTCTTGGTTAGTTGGCAGTGTAGAATCTTCTGATAAGCCTATTTCATTATTTTTTTCACTTAAAATGCTGCTTATTATTTGAATCTCTTTTTTTTTCAAAAGAAAGGTTTCACTTATATGTTGATAACACCCTATTTGTTCATTATAATTATACTTTCCACTGAGTCTTTGGAGTAATCTCCGGCCCCGACACAAAGTCTCACTGTGTAGCTCTGGCTGTCCTGGAACTCACCAATGCCCGGCCCACTGTGTACTCTTAACAGCTGAGCCATCTCTCCAGTCCCTAGAGTTAATTGTAATCATCATTTTCTAGTGCTATGGTCACATTTAAATATGACTAATCTGATTTGGGGATGTTTTCTTTTTTCAAGACTGGGTTTCTCTGTGTAACAGAGCTCTGGCTGTCCTGTAACTAATTCTGTAGACCAGGTAGGCCTTGCCCTGAGAGATCTGCTTGCCTCTGCATCCTGAGTGCTAAGATTATTTATAGGCATGTGCCACCACCTCCTGGCAAGATATCCTTTGTTCTTATACCCTGATCCACATGAGGACAAGTTGTAGAAAAACTACATTAACCTATTGGTGGCTCAGAGTGCATAATCCTTGGAAAGTTATTCCATATTGACTTTTTAAATTTCTTTTTTGAGATAGGCTCACACTGTGTAGC